CAAACCAATCCCAAATCCAATGTCTTTCACTCCGGCTCCAGCGCACTTAATTCAGCTTTGTAACAAGGAAACTTCTGGCTGTGCAAGAAATGAACTGAGGGAGAGTTTGATTTAGCAGTGGTTTATTTTCTCTTTCTGTAGTGCAGACATCACACGTTCCAGCCACAAACTTGGCTGCAGAAAATCAAAATGCATTTTCAAACTCGAGAAGTTCTTAGTACCAGAAGAAGCCAGTCTGATGAATACAAATCAGCAAGTAATTATTTCGTGACATTATTAATAATGAAAAAAAATGATTACATTTTTCTATTAATGGTACATCCTTGCTATTTTGATATTCTCCTAATTTAATTTTGTTCTGATAGTAAGGAATGTCTCTACACAGCAGTGATTCTGTTCTGATCTTATGAGTCTCTCCCAAAACACTCCCTAAAACACTTCACTCTCCTTTAAGAAACCCTGTTCAGCCTCAAGAAGCAGCTCTGGACCTCACAAAGATCTACTCCGAAATAATAAGGCACCTACTCCCTCATCCCATCTCCACTTCTCCTGTCTCAGGGATTGGGAAAAGGGCTGGCAATGACACAATGAAAAGTAAAATTAGGCAACCAAGGTCAGGCACCTCCCCATTGCCACCTGCCTCAGCTCACCAGGGTTGGACAGTTTTGTCGCTCACGAACTGCCCGTGAGGAGCGTCAGCATCTGAAGGCAAAAGGGCCAAATAAACGGGGGTCTCAGCCCCCTCATCGGGGGATTTGGTGGCTTTGGGACCTGCCATGTCTGTCCTCACCCAGCCAGGGCAGCAGGCATTGAGCAGGATGTGGTCCCCTTTCCTTTTCTCGTTCAGCAGCCGGGCCTGGATCCTGGACAAGACGGTGACCCCGATTTTGGACACCCCATAGGCGGTGTTTGGCCAACCCTCTTTGTCGTGCACCCCTTTCTTGGTGTCCTCCACGAACTTGTTCATCAGCTGCACCAACTCCTCCTCGGTGATGGTGTCACTGCGGAATTTCTGCTGCAGCTCCTGGCTGCAGCCCTTCAGGGCCGAGCTGCTCACCATGCTGGACACGTTCACCACCCGCCCTGGCACGGGGAAGAAGAGCTGGTTATTTTGGACACCTTTTAAGGCCAGCACTGAGGTGGGGGCTGCTCTGCAGCTTTGTGTTCGCTGCTCGGGTCAACACCTGCCAATTCTTTCATGTGGGCTGTTTGGCAGAACTCTGGGAAGGTCAGAGTTAACTCCATGTCACACGCTGCCAGAAAATTCCATTCAGTGTTCATCTCCCAGCACTTCAGCACAGAGCAGTGAGTCACTTCATCAGTAAATCATTTCCAAAATTATTTTGCAATGTTTTCCCCCTTTCTTGCTACTTCACAGCCATTCAGGTGATGAACATGGGGATTTAACCTTAAAAGGCCCAGAAATTAATCCTTTCTGTTAATGACTTTATTACCACACCCATCCTTCACCCTTAGTACAAGAGGACTAAGTTGTAATTTTGGCACTGTTTACTCTCTCCCCAGCTGACCCCCCAAAATTCTTTTACTCTGTCTTCTCCCTCTTCACCAGGAATAACAATTCCCAATTTCTCTTTCATCTACTTGAGTTCTTTCCTCTTAAAACCCTGGATGCTTTTAAGTGTTAGTATCATCTACATTTCATTTACAGCAGCAAACACATCACAGCACCACGTCAAACCCAGCTGAAAGGCTGCTTTTGGGTACTTCCTTATCCCAGTTCTGTCATCAAAACGTCCTTTCTGAAGCAAGAACAGTTTGTGGAGGCAGAGATCATGGACAGAGCACTTTGCTATGGGGCAGTGTCTGAGACTGGAGAGGATTTCCCTGTTTAATGAGGGTTAAAATTCAAACAAAACTGTTCCTGCGGTGTTTCACTTACCATAGGGCTTCATAAGAGGCAACAACTCTGTGCAAACATTCCTGGTTCCAAAAAAGTTTGTCTTCAGTGTAACCTCAGCTTGGACTGCAAATGGAGCCGTGTCATGAACTTTTTGTAACAGGTGGGAGAGAGAAAAAAAAAAAACAAAAAAAACCTAAAAATCAGAATCGTAGTGTTTGAACAAAGTTACCAAACTCCAAAAGTTTATCTTATTTTTTAAACTCAACCAAACCTCAGTAGTTCAGTTAAATTTTTTTCTAATAATTAGAAAACAGGCACATGATGAATGAAAATCTGTAAGAAAAGCAACATAATTAACACTAATGAGAAGACCTGGCTCTGCAATTTTGTATTAATGAGCTCATTAATTAACTTTCACCTCCTCTTAGCTGAAGGTTTTGGCTTTACCCCAGAGACCCAGTTGTACTCCCTCTGTGGGGTTCATTTGCCACCTCACAGGTTGTCTGTCCTTCTGGCTTTTTATGGAAAAGCCATGGAAAAACAGCTTTCCTGGGATGTGCTGCCCCACCTGCCCTGGGATTTGCCAGGACCTGCCCACACCCAAGTTCTCAGCTGGGGTTTGAAGTCCCCAACACCCTAAAAGCTTCTGTGGGATTTGGTGCAGTCTGAATAAACAAACTGGGTAGAAACAGCAATCTTGAGAGCAGGAATTAAAACAAAAATATGGGGTAAGTTTTGACACAGATGTTACACCCTCCAGGCTCTGTGTTAGATACTCACACAGCAACAGGCACAAGAGGCTGCTTTATCACATTTCTTAATTGTAGGACATACTGCTGACTCAGAGTTGTTGTCAGCTTGAAGGAAGTCTGGGCTAAACATCTGGAAGTGATATTTTAACTGCTGCTGCTGTAATGTTTTAGTACCTCTCTATCCTGAGTACATCCTGAAGCTCAGAAGAGCTGCCTCCTGTTGAACTGATCAAACACAAGCAATTTTTCTATAAAGTAACATGCCAAACATACAGTGAGTGGGTTTTAGAAGGTCATCACTGCACTCCCACTCCATGAGAACCTCCATCTTGAGGAGCAGGTGAGGTTTGATCTGTAGTTCCTGACAGAATCCCCTCCCTAGAACAAGCAGTCAGGCTTGTGATTTGCTCTATCTGACATGATCTTGCCTTGCTTTTATAAACACTTATAAGAAGAATGCACTTTTCCACCTTAAAACTGCTGTGCCTTCCTCGCTTTCCCTGCGTTCCTGTCCACTGGGGGATGACGTGGTTACATTCTTGCTCAGTGCAGGCCCCACCCAGGGCCACAGTTTATTTTTTATCAGCTGGATGCCTTGAGGAGGTAACACACACAGCAAAGCGTGAGGCTTGTGGAAAACACAGATCCCCACGGAACACAGCTGATATTCACCCTCAGGATGGGCTCCCATGGCCCTGGTGACACTCCTGGGCACTGAGGCAATTATCCCAACTCTACTCACAGGGCATTGTGTGCCTCAAGAGCTTCCGTGCTCCCTGGGTGATGCAAACACAGCACTCCAGGGAGGCACGTTTACAGAATCACTGAGGTTGGAAAAGACTTCCAGGATCATCCAGTCCACCTCGTGCCCCATCCCAGAGCACTGAGTGCCACGGCCAGGCCTTCCTTGGACACCTGCAGGGCTGGGCACTCCAAACCTCCCTGGGCAGCCCCTGCCAAGGCCTGACCACCTTTTCCATGGAGAAATGCACATGCACACTCAGCCCAAGAGATCCCAGAAGACCCATTTCACATTGTCCTCAAGACAAGAAGCATTCCACCGGCACGCAAGTGTCAGACGCATCCACAAACCTCTCCACACAGCTCGGCAGCACCCAGGACTATCCCAGACAGACTCTCTCTCCTACCTTTGAAAGCGATGCCCGCGTTGTTCACCAGCACGTTCAGCCCCCCGTACTTCTCCTTGAGGAAATCCCGGAGGGCTCTGATGCTCTGCGGGTCATCGATGTCCAGCTGGTGGAAGAGGGCCCGCAGCCCCTCCTGCTGGAGCTTGGCCACCGCCTCCTGCCCCCGGCCGGGATCCCGGGCCGTCAGGTACACATCCCCCGGGAACTGCTTGCACAGGGCCCGCACGATGGCAAAGCCGATGCCTTTGTTGCCCCCCGTCACCACAGCCACGGGCGCGCTGGACATTGTCCTTCCTGGGTGGGTGTGCCCGAGAGACAGGAGCTGCCGACAGCAAAGCAAGCTTCACTCAGACGGACAAAGGCGGCTGTTGGAAAGGAATTAAAAGTCAGGGAATGGTTTGGGACCCTGAAGATCATCTAATCCAACCCCCCTGCCACGGGCAGGGACGTGTTCCACGATCCCAGGTTGCTCCAAGCCCCCTCCGACCTGGCCTTGGACAACACCAGGGGTGTGGGGTCCACAACTCTTCTGGCCAATTAAGTGTTTTTTTTTTTCTTTAAAATACTATTTCAAATTCCACCTCGATTTACATAAAGCACATTACTGAGGATAACCTCCTAAAGCAGCCCGAGGTGTTCACAGAGAAATCCATACCCGGTGCTAAATGTTTTGAAGAAAACCCAGCCAGTGACCGGGTAAAAAATGAAGAAAAGTCTTTACCAAAGAAAGTCAACCACTGATTTTCAGTAGTGAGTTAACTTCTGGTGGGAGTAAGCTCTTCTGCACTTACACCTCACAGAAATTTCCTTCTTTTGAGGGTATTTCAACTGGTTCAGCTGAAAAACTCAGGCTCAGAACCCGAGCAACCTCCTCTAGTTGAAGGTGTCCCTGCCCGTGGCAGGAACTGGATGAGCTTTAAGGTTCATTCTAACCCAAACCATGGAAAAAAAAAAA